ATGACCTAAATAGAAACATGATTCACACTGACTTCTTCCTTTGTATTTAATCTTGCACTATGAAAACAAACTACTGTCTCTGATGCCTTAGCAACTTAATAGTGCTTCTAATCTTTTGAAAATCACAGGTTTGTGTTTACAAGAACATATCCTCTAGACTCAAGCTTATGTCTCTAAAAGTCTAACTAAAGGCCTTGTGGCTGGTACATTACTGTAATCAGCAAGAAACTGGTCCTGATTCTCTTAAACTCACTTTGTTCAACTGAGAACAAACTTGGAAGTCTCCTACAAAACTGGAGTTGATTCTCATCTCTTGATTACTTCTGCAGGCCTTTGAAAGTTCCAGAGAAGTTCTCCTGTGCTATATATGTTAAACACGCTTCCATATTTTCCTTTAAATCATCAAGAGCAGCACATAGGATAATGTGTTTATTCCTTTCTCTGCTCCCTAGGATTATCTTCTTTCTAAAGTCATTGACCCTTTCCCTATCTACTCTAAATGAATGATTTCATGCTCCATCCTGACAAATCTGGTTAAAATGACATTGCATCTCTTTATATCATCTGTCCAAATTGTACAAAGAAAGGGTGTCTAATGGGCACTCTCCAACAAAGTTACTGCCTATGGAGTGCTTAGAGATCCCAGGCTGTCCTAAAAATCAAAGAAAGTATTGAATAAGTTTCTCCTTTCTCTGAGGTTTACAGATTCAGAAGCAGGGGGTAGGGAGAAAGCATTTCCCTCATTATCTTTCCAATACTCTTGAAACATATTCTGCTCCTTGAAAGACTGATATTCAAAAGTTAGCTCTGGGAGTATAGGATCGGTTTTTTTTTTCACTGTTTATTTAATTTTATTTATTTATTTATTCATTTTTTGAGACAGAGTCTCACTCTGTCGCCCAGGCTGGAGTGCAGTGGCATGATCTCAGTTCACTGCAACCTCTGCCTCCCGAGTTCAAGCAATTCCCTGCCTCAGCCTCCCAAGTAGCTGGGATTACAGGCGCCTGCCACCACATCCGGCTAATTTTTGTATTTTTAGTAGAGATGGGGTTTCACCGTCTTGGCCAGGCTGGTCTTGAACTCCTGACCTCGTGATCGGCCTGCCTCAGCCCACCAAAGTGCTGGGATTAGGTGTAAGCCACCACGCCCAGCCTAGTTTTTTTTTCTGAGGCAGTCTTGCTCTGTCACCCAGGCTGGAGTGCAGTGGTGTGATCCGAGCTCACTGCAGCCACAACATCCCCAGCTCAAGCAATCCTTCCACTTCAGCTTCCTGAGCAGCTGAGACTATAGGCACATGCCACCATGCGCAGCTAATTTTTGTATTTTTTTTTTAGAGATGGGGGTCTCCCTGTGTCACTCAGACTGCTTTCAGTCTGTCCTGGGCTCAAGAGATCTTCCTGCCTCAGCCTCCCAAAGTGCTAGGATTATAGGGGTGAGCCACTGCATCCAGCCCACTGTATTTATTTTAATGAGATGAACATTAGTCGATTAATTAGGCTTTTTTTTTTCTTTTTTTTGGTGAGACAGAGTCTCACTCTGTCACCCAGGTTGGAGTACAATGGCGTAATCTTGGCTCACTGCAACTTCCGCCTTCTGGGTTCAAGCTATTTTCCTGCCTCAGCCTCCCGAGTAGCTGGGACTACACAGGCATGTGTGCCACCATGCCTGGCTAATTTTTGTATTTTTGGTAGAGACAGGGTTTTACCATATTGGCTAGGCTGGTCTCGAACTCCTGACCTCGTGATCTGCTCACCTTGGCCTCCCAAAGTGCTGGGATTACAGGTATGAGCCACCATGTCCGGCCAACTGGGCTTTTATTGGAGGAGAATGAATATCTATAGTGATTGCTTGTAGAATTAAATGTTGTTTCAAGCTTTTTACCCCCTAAAATTGAGAATAGTAATATAATATTTGTATTCTGTGAGTTTTGATTGGGATAAATAAAATATTAGAAATAGAATCCCAGACCTAGGAAGAACTTTGTCTTCAGAGAAGCAACCTTGGTCCCAGCCCCTTCTCCACAGCTGCATGAAGAAGCTGCACAGAAAACCACTCACCCTCACCCCCAGTTCTGGAATGTGAAGGCAAGATCTACATTGTCCTGGTGATGGTCATTGCTGGAGAGCTCTGGGACATGCAGGAAATGGTTCCAGAGCCTCTTCCTCTTCACTGTCACGCAGCAGCAGTTCAGAGCTTTCCAGAAAGACCTACTTTTCATTTCCCCCAAGTTTCAAGAATTTGGGCACTTGGGGGAGCTATAGATAGGGTGAGGTTTGGCTCTTGGCACCAGGCTAGCATCGGGGCATGGAAGGGATGGGGAAGGGCGCTAGAATCAGTGGTTTCCAGGGTTGAAGGAGGCCTTGGGTGAGGGGATAGCAAGAGCCAGGGCCTGTCGTTCCCATGGCCATGAGGCAGAAGAAGGCACAGGGAGAATAGGGTAGGTAGGGCAGAGTTGGAGATGGTTAGGGAACTCTCTGGGCGCTCCCTGCTCTGGGTTCCAGGCCTGGCATGACACTGAATAGTTGTGTGCCATGACCAAGCTGCTCAACAAGTCTGCGCCTCTGTTTCTTCATGGGTGTTATGAAGGGATTGGACTCCATGATTGTTAAGGTCTGTTCCAGTTCCAGCAAACAAACTGCAAACAAGCAAAACAAACAAAGCCTGCCTTGTTTATTTTCAAGAAAGCATTTGCTAATCTCTTTCCAATGTAGCCAGTCTCCTTGTTTACCATCCTGGGCTCCTCTCAGGCCCCAAAATAGTGCTTTTTATTTTTAGGGATAAGTAAATAGTTCAGTTTGACTGGAGCATGGGAAGAAAGCAGGAGAGCAACCAAGAGGAGTAGAACCTGAAAGGGATCTGGGATTGGAGCATGAAGGCCTAAATACTGCTAGACTTAGGCATAAGAACACACTGTCCTGGTGCCATTCTTTAGACCAGAGAGGACCAGAGGGGTCCCAATCCCTTGGGACAGGAAAGGGCTGAATGAGGACCAGAGACAGGTTAGAGTCCTCCCTGATCCTCATCCAAGCCCTTTCTTGTCCCAAGGGGGCTGAGAGTCTCGGGGGCTGAGGGACACTTCCTTGTCTGTATTGTGCTCTAGATACTTGAGAATTCCCCAGCCAAGTGTCCTCAAAGGTTATGGCCTTTTCCCTAGTTGCATCAGAGCATACAGTTTATGTAGCCCTACATCCTACAGGTGGCCAAGAGCAGCTGTTTTGAGGGGAGAGGGGACATGGACGTGAGGGCTAGAATTCCCCATGCCTAAGTGTGGAGCTCTTCATATGTGGGAGGGAGCTGGGAGTGGGAAGAGGACAAGGGCAGCTGCAGGCTTTGCCAACTCTTCTGTATAATTAGGGTAATTAGCATATTCTCCACCTTAAACATTTGGCATTTATTTTTGAAAACATTCACAATTTGCTCTTCTAGCTACTTGAAAATATACAATAAATTGTTGTTTATTTCAGTCACTCTACAGTGCTGTAGAACACTAGAACACATTCCTCTTATCTAGATGTCCACCGATCAACTTTTGTGTCCATTAATCAACCTCTGTCTATCTCTCCCTGCCTCCTCCCCTTCCCAGCCTCTAGTAACCACTATTCTACTCTCTACTTCTATAAGGTCAACTTTTTTAGCTTCCACATATGAGAACATGCAGTATTTATCTTACTATGCCTGGCTTACTTCACTTAACATAATGTCTTCCAAGCTCATCCATGTTGCCACAAATGACAAAATTTTGTTCTTTTTAAATCAATAAATAGTATTCAATTGTGAATATATACATTTTTCATCCATCTTTCTGTTGATGAACATTTAGGGTGATCCGTATTTTGGCTATTGTGAATAGTGCTACAGTAAACATGAGAGTGCAGAGATCTCAACAAGATTCAGTAACCCTAATACTGAGTATACATCCAAAGTATTTTATTCGTTTTGATGCTATTCTAAATGGAATAGTTTCCTTAGTTTCCATTTTTGGTTGTTTATTGTTAGTATATATAAATACAACTGATTTTTGTGTATTGATTTCCTATCCTGCAACTTTGCTGAATTTGCTTATTAGTTCTACTGGGGTTTTGTGTGTGTGTGTGTGTGTATGGAATCTTCAGGTTTTCCTATGTATAAAATTTTATCATTTGCAGACAGATATAATTTTACTTATTTATTTCCAATTTGGATCCCTTTTATGTATTTTTCTTGCTTAATGTTACTGCAGCTTTCTATCCAGGAAATGAGGATTTGAACCGTGATGGGGAGGTGAGCAATGGTTGGATTTGGGACATATTTTATGGGCAGAACAAATGGAACTTGTTGGCTCAGAAGTGGGTGATGGAAGAGAGAAGTTAAAAGTGACTTCTAGGTTTATGGATGGGCTAAATTATTGTGGTGCCACTGTTTAGACAGAGTAGATGGGGGGATGCAGGACTAAGAGGGGAAGAGAAAAGGTCCATCTGGGTCACATTAAATTTGGCCATGATTGTGCATCAGATAGATAAAAGCAAGAGAAGGAGGGAAGAAGTCAGAACACAGACCTCTGGGGAAAGCTCACATGTAGAAAAGGGATGGAAGAAGAGGCATCAGAAAGAGAGGCAAAGAAGAGCAATCTGAGGGGGAGAAAAAGAACCAGGAAAGTCAGAGAAACAAGGAAGAAGTTTCAGGAAAGTGGTAGTGGTCAACTATGCAAGCAAGACGGGAAGGAAGGTGAGGACTCAGAAAGGATTTTTTATGTGAGCAACAAGGTTATTGGTAACCTCTGACAGAACATTTTCAGCAGAGTGGATAAGGTCTCTGCCGGAGTGCAAGTGAATTGAAAATATAAGTGAGTGAGGGAAGTGCTTTAAACAAATCTAAAGTGCCGTGTGTGTAAGGCAGTGTTGCTATTTCTGTTGCCATGGAAACAGAAACCTTTCAGGAGAACTAAAAGCCACTTAAAATCCCTGACTCTAACCCATTATATCCGCTTGATCTCTTGAGAAAGATAATGACAAAAACCAGTCATTAGAGGGGCAGGGCAATTTTAGGTTTCTTCTTTTTAGATGTAGCCCTTAACTGGAAATCTTCCCCCTTCTTGAGAAGAGATCTTGCACTGACATCTATACTGGCTTCTAAAAAGCACAGATGACCTGCTACACTTCCTGACTTTCTTGCTATTGGTTGGCATTGTTCATAAATATAATTTGCTGTTTCCCTTTTCTTTCAAATGAGCAATCCGAATTACTTGGAGGAGAAAGGCAGAAGAGATAGAGGCAGCAGAAGCCAGGGCAGCTGAAAGACAGAGAACTTCAGGTGGGCATTTTAATCTTTGTTTTGTTAATTCAGTGTTGAGAATCATGACTTGATGATCATGTAATAGAGGAGTAACTTTTGAAAAGTAAATTTGTTTTGTTCTACTATAAATGTTATTTTCCTATCATGTACATGGTAGTTTAAAAAATACTGTGAAAGTACAAAAATGTTAAAGGAAGCCAAATTCTCCACCAAGATAGCATCTATTGATATTTTGGGGGTTTTCCGTGTGTGTGTGTGTGTGTGTGTGTGTGTGTGTGTGTGTGTTTGTGAATGTGTATATGCACATATAACTTTAGTTTTTATAGTTGCGTCCCCGCACTATGGACACGTTTATATTCATTTCCTGCATTTCAGTCTATGGTTTTTCCATGTTGCTGTGAATTCTTTGTAATCATAAATTAAAGCTGCTGCATAATATTGCGTGGAGGAACTTTACTGTACTTCCTCCATTTTTGACTGTATAGCAGTTATCCTATTTTTCATAGTTTGGGTCCTTTTATTATATAAGATATATTTTTTTCATTCAGGGTCTTGTTTTAGGGGTAGAAGAAGTTGAATCTGAGCACATATATTTCAATGGTTTTGCTCAGAGGCACAATGAGAGTGAAAGAGTATGTGAGATCATGAGCATATAATCTGTTCCTTACCCCACTGGGACCCTAACCAGTGTTTCTCAACTCTGGCTGCACATCAAGCCAGAATCACCTGACTCTGAGGAGAGTAGAAAATTACCCCTAGAATAATTGAAGCTTAACTTTTAAAGATCAGCAAGTCATCTGCAGTATTTTGTCTTGTTTTCCAGAAACTTCTCAGGTGATTCTAATAGGTGGTCGGCATAAAAACAGATGACCTACGTCATTCAAAGTATTTTTCTGTCTCTGACATATACCTGAGAGGATGTATTAGGAGAAAGGGAGGTATAATTTCAGGCAAGCCAACCAAATCTCCCTTTCAACACTACATAAATAATGCAAATTATAGAATAATTTGCGGGGAAACATAAGACTTCTAGAAATTTCTATCATCTACCTCAGCCACATAAACTCTTGAGATGAGAATCTACTTGTGTTTCGATTTACTAATGTTTTAAAGAGGTGGATTTGTTTACAGTGCTTTGATGGTTAAAAGTTAGAGAAGTTGAGGCTGTAGTATGTTCTGAATGTACCTGAATCACGCCCATATCTGCTAGAATCTGCCAAGGCAGCCAGGTTTCCTTTCTTTTGCAATCTTCAAGATTAAACACAAGGTGGGCATTTAATAGCTGGCCAGTCACTAACACACTGTGGGCACGGTGAAGATCGATGGCATTGGATTTGGAGGCAGAAGGTGGCTCACTCTGGCTTTCAGGAGCCCCATAGACATGGCACTTATCTTCTCTGGACCTCATGTCCTCAGGAGGGAAGTGGACAGAGTTTATGCCAGGGCTGCGTTCTGGTTTCTCCCGTCGGGGACTGGAAACAGAGCCAGAGCCCCTAAACCACATTGAAGCATTTGCTGTTGCACTCCTAGCCTGCTGCAAGCCAGGAATCATCCCAACGAGACCAACAGCATGTTAATCAAATTTCTTCTTGTTTTGATTCAGTGGAGAACACCTGTTTAGTACCTTCATTAATGAATGTAAACATTCACATAGTACTTTACAAAACACGTTTACATGCATCAGTTCATTTGATCCACATACTGGCCTTAAGAACTGGAGTAATTCTTATTTTAAAGATGGTAAAGATGAGACCGAGAGAACATAGGATCTTTTCCAGGTGAAACCAGAACTGGTCCAATCTGGTTTAGCCCAGGGCACATGGTCCATTCTTACAACTTAAATAATAGCTATTGTGGGAAATTGGTTAAACATATTTCATAATGTTTATATAATTGGTTATTCTGTAGCCAGTGAGATGATGACATTGATGTTGTTATTTGGCAAAGAAAGGTGATCATGGCATGGAAATAAGAAAAAAGCAAGATATAAAACAGCATTATAAATGCGCTCATTTTTGTTTAAAAATATATATTTCAAGAAAGATGAAAACATATATGTGAAATTTTAGATATGTCTGGTTGGTGGTAAAGTTCATAATTTAAGTTTATTTCAGCTTGTATTACATTGTAATTTTTTTTTTTTTTACCACGAACGTGTACTACTTGTGTAATAAAAATAAAGGAAAGTAAATAGAATTGTTCATGTCTTTCTGGTTGGCTCTTCTCCAGATGAAATGGCCCCATCTTCTTTCACTTGGCCGTAAAGAAGGCTACTATTTAATTCTCTGAGTCTTGTACATTATTGTCACAAATTTTATTGTGATTGTCAGCTAGTACTGACTGAATTCTTCGCGTGTGTTGGGCACCAAGTTAATCACTTCACATCCATTTTTTTTCATCAGTACTCACTCCAGTGCTCCTTTGGCAGAGGAGAGTTTGAAGCTCAGAGGGCTGCGGTAATAAACGACACTAAAAGGCAGAGTTGAAACTTAAACCCAGGACCCTTTTAACTCAAAAGCACATGGTTTCATTCATTATATCACTCTGCCTCCCATCCACCTGGGATCACATGAGCAGCCTCCGTTTTGGAGGAAAGATGATATATTTTTTCAGTGTACTCCTCATTGCTGTGTACATGAATACATGATGGTTACTTTGGGCATCATTAAGATTTCCTGTGTACTCCAGAATCAAGGATCCTTTCTGCTTTTCTATAGTTTGCTCTATGCACCAGATATCTGAGGCACTCTAGTTCCCCAAGGGTAAGGCTTTAAGATAAAAGCCTCACAAGGGATTGTGCAATTACCCAATGAACTCTGGCTAATGCGGCAGCCAAACTGGGTAATACAAAGAAAGGCAAGTATTTTGCTGTGGATGCTTAGCTTTGCTAGAGAGCTTTTTGAAATCCATGTCAGAAACCCCTAGCACTGTATTTCTTTATTTATCAGGGTATTGGCCACTGCCTCCTTTGTACTGCAGTTACTTATGTACAGTAGGTTCTATTGGACTAAGACTTGGACATTGGAGTCCTTGCATAGAACCTAGCACATAAACTCCATTGAGAATAAGGCATTGTGTAAATAAATCGCTTCACCAGTGAATGCAGACTTTAGTTACAGCTAATGTTTATCTCTGTGGAACTTTATTAACCTCTTTATATTAATTGACCCATGGAGAAAATATAATCTGGACAGAATTTAAAGGAAAACCTCTTCCAATGGATTAATGACTTTGTGGCAGTAGAGTCAGAGTCTTTTGACAAAGAAATCTAGTTATTATTTGAGAGGCCCAGGATAAGGGTCTAAGCAGTGAGTTGGAGTCAAGAAATTCCAAAGTTGGAAGGGTCCTTAGGAAGAGCTGGGACCAGAGGTAGACTTTTTTTGCTTCTTTAGTGTGAAATCCTTAAGGGAGAGGTTTCAAAAAAGTATAGGAAGCTGATTATAGGAAGAACAAGAAGGAAGGAGAGAAAGGAAGGGAGTAGAGGAGAGAGGAGAGGGGGAAAGAGATGGAAGAGGAGGGAAAGAGATTGAAGAGGAGGCAAAGAGATGGAAAAGGAGAGAGGAACAGAGGGGAAGGGAGCCGGTTTACTCTGGAAGTTTAAATATTAAGCTGGGGTAATTTAAAATAATTTAGTCCACCATTATTACCTATATTGTACATTACATAAATAAGAATTTTTTTTATTATAAAAAAGATAATTTCCCATATAAGTCTGCTCCCATGAGGCTGTAGAAACAGCATCTTACCTTGTTTGTACCTCTAGTACAGAAAAACAATCATCTAAAGAGTATTTGAAGGCATCCTAGATTCTTTTTTCTCTTTTGTCAAATTATTATTTTTAAAGTATTTTAAATTTGTGTAAATTTATGGATTACACATGCAATTTTATTACGTGCATAGATTGTGTAGTGGTCAAGTCAAGGCTTTTAGGGTAACCATCACCTGAATAACATTGTATCCCAGATTCTTTTAGGTAAGTTGGTTTCCTTTTATTTTGAGTCTTACCTTAAAAATAACTCTGTTATCTTGTAAATTCACTGAGAGACATGAAGGTGACTCCCTTTGTTAGTTGTAAGAGGCAGAAATCCCTATTGGGAACTTGTTGGCAGAGAGTCAGACAGACAGTTTGCTACCCTCCAAGATATAAAGGGTGCGGCTTCCTACAGTGTTTAGAACAGAGCACCTTTTGGGTACCCTTTGTGGCTGCCTTCTGCTCCCATGCCATGCCATTGACCATTGACCCTATATTCCTGTTCCCAGACTTTAGATTTGAATTTCAGGAAAAGGAAATTTTCAAGGAAAAACACATTAACATCATTTCATTGTAAAAGACCATGTGAGTTATTTCCTCCCTGCCCCCAGAAGATATTAATTGTAAGGCATAAAATGAGGGCGTTGGATAACAGCTTCATTAGCTCATTTATTGATCTGAGCACATTCATGTGCCTCATGCTGTGCTGGGGCCTGGGGTACAGCAGTAGACATGTGCTTGCCTTCCATGGGCAAACAGTCTGGTGGGTAGGGATAGACAGGAGACAACTGCTGCCCCTTGGGTAAATGCTGGATGGGAAGCCCAAGGGTCGGCGAACAGCCAAGACGTGGAGGGGTCAGAGAAGCCGTCTTCTGAAGGAAGCGATGTTTAGAAAGAAACCTGAGATTGGGTAAGCAATAGCCAGGAAATGAGCTTGAGCTCAGAAGAAATGGGCAAGAGAGAGCTTGCTGTGTTCGGGGCCTTGAAATAAGCTTCATGAGACTGAGTATTCTTTACTGAGGGGATGGTGGGGAGAGAATATGCTGGATAACAAGATCGGTACTGGATACTGTGAAAAGCCTGGAGATGAACTTGATTCTGAGATGATAATGGGTTTTAAGTGGAAGAGTAATGTGGTCAGACATGCATTTTGGAAAGGTCACTCTGGCCACTGTGTGAAGAATGAATTGAGAACAGCCAGAGTGGAGATAGGGAGGCATTGAGGAGGCTGTGCCCACTGTCCAGGTGAAAGATGACAGCCTGCACT